CCACTTTCCACAGAAATCCCTGCCGGCATCACTGGCGGATCCAGACTTTGTGATAACAGACTCTGCTAAGCCTTCTCGCCCTGCACAGCTACACATTGGCTTCCAGGCCCTACATCAATTCCGTGCTCGGTACAGCCGGCAGCCCAAGCCTCATAATGAGGTAAATAACTGCGTGAGACAGTCAGGATCCTTGGCTTGGAAGCCTCATCTTTGGTGTCCATCTAGCTATTTTCTCTCAGCGCCTCAGTGCTCTTCCTCCTGCAGTGTTCTCAAAGCTCCTCTCTCCTTTGGGTGTGACCCCACCAGGCGGATGCAGAAGAACTGATAGCGCTAGCCCAAGATTTGAATGCTCGAGCCCTGCCGGCAGTCCAGCAGGACAGCCTGGATGAAGACCTCATCCGGAAGTTGGCATATGTAGCTGCTGGTGACCTTGCACCGATAAATGCTTTCATCGGGGGCCTGGCTGCCCAGGAGGTCATGAAGGTCAGCTTGGGTGGCGAGAGGATGGCTTGTATGGTCCGGGTTTCTTCCTGACGCCATCGCATGTTAATCTGTATCCATCCTGATTGACCCCTGAGTCTTCTTTCCCCAGGCCTGTTCAGGGAAGTTTATGCCCATCACGCAGTGGCTGTACTTTGATGCCCTTGAGTGTCTCCCCGAGGACAGGGGCGCGTCCTTGGAAGATCAGTGCCTGCCGGTATGTAAGTAGGGCAATGGAAAAGCATCCTTTGGAGCCTCACTAGCATCTCTAAACTCCTCCTTCCCCTGATACAGCGCCAGAACCGTTACGATGGACAAGTAGCTGTGTTTGGTTCGGACCTACAGGAGAAGCTGGGCAAGCAGAAGTACTTCCTGGTGAATGACATTCTGGACACCCACCGTATTTACCTAGCCCTTCTAGAATCTTTCTGTTACCGAGGGGGAATGTCTTGATGTGTACAGCCGGGTCCCAGCCCCTTCCCTCTTTTCGTGTATCGAGCAAGGCCTGATCCTTCCTGGGTTCTGCTCTCTGGGGCCTCCTCTTTCATGTCACTCTAGGTTGTATGGGGGTCTGACTTGATAGACGCGGGCCGTGAGATGCTTGTACCCTTTCTTGACGTTTCCAGGGAGTACGGAGTGGTGGATAACCGTGTCACACCTTCCGTCTCTCTGACGAGAATTTTTCTTTCCTGACTTGCAGGTGGGTGCGGGGGCTATTGGCTGTGAGCTGCTCAAGAACTTCGCTATGATTGGACTAGGCTGTGGGGAGGACGGGGAAATCACGGTCACAGACATGGATGCCATTGAGAAGTCCAATCTGAACCGACAGTTTCTTTTCCGATCCTGGGATGTCACGGTGAGGGGGCATGCGATGGTTGTCTCTCTCTTCCTTCATGTCACTTTCTTGTTTCTGATCTTAATGGCTTAGATGCTTTAACCTCTTAGGAGCTGCCTTTCGGCTCATTTCTTAACCGTTGTGGCTGAACAAAAATGGATCGAGTATGTGTTGTGTTCTTAGATATTTCCCAGCCACCTTGCTGGACTCTTTTAACTATTTGGGGGGATTGTTTTTACCTGGTCCCTGGAATGTTGAGAATGTTGGTTTGCTTGTTTGAGACAGGGTCCCACTATGCAGTGGAGAGTGACCTGGATCTCACTGCGTAGCCCAGGCCGGTCTCAAACACACAGTGATCCTCCTGCCTCAGATACCTGAGTGCTGGGTTGAGAGGCATGAGCCACCACACCCAGCTGGAAGTTTGAGAATATGAAACCGGGTTGTAGAAACATTGTCTGGGAGGCTTCTGTAAAGCTAAGCATTGATGATCTCTCTTGATTCACTGAATACCCACATTCTAGGTTGTAGACATGGACAACATGTAAGGTGACAAACGGAAAGTGCCCTTCTCTAATGGGCAGATGAGGAGATGTTCTCAGAATCCTTTTGGCTGTCCTCCGAATGAGGTTCCTTATTACCGACAGACCGCACAAGATTCCAGTAATAGGAGGAGTAGAAAGATATTTTTCGCTATTTGTCCTATGAAAATGGAATTTTTCACTGTAGGAAGCCTTTGGGAATTCCGTGAAACAGCATGTTCCAAAGGACAAGGGCGTGATGATCCAGAAACATACATGAGGGAAGAGGTCCGTTCAAAATGAAAATTCAGTGAGCGGTTCTCTTAATTTTGGTAGGGATTCAGGGTTTTGGTTCAACACTAAACTAAGAATCTGCCCGTGTAAAGTTTTGCTATTTATTGTTAGGATGACAGTAGTTACCTTAAAAGATTCTTGCCTGGAGTGGTGGCACACCCGTGTAGTCCCAGCCGTGGGAGGCCTAGGCAGGAGGAATGCCTGGAGGTGAAGGCCAGCCTGGGCTACACAGGGAGTTCAAGGCCCGCTTGAACAATGGAGTGAATCCATAAATAAGTTATTTAATAAATACACTAATTAAGAAAGCAAGAAGGCTTCTTTCAGAAGTTTATTCCCTGGTGCTCAGTGTTCTCTGGAGGCCTTCATATGAAACATGAAAGATACGGCCCGTCCTGGACACCAGAAGGAGTCCATTGTTGAGAACCCGTATCCTGTAAGGGGTATTTTTCTGGAAAATGTGAACGCAGTGTGTCTCATCACAGAAGTCTTAACCCGTTTCATAATACTGTTTATGGTACATGCAGTATGTGTAGTGCATGTTGAAATGGGCTACACGTTTTTAAAATTTCTGCGTAAATATCTAACGTGAGAAACAATAACAGGTACGTAACAAATTTCAGGCCTGTTCCTAAGATGTGGTGACCGCTGCGGTCATCAGCAGAGAACAAACCGTATAGATACTGTTAGACTCTGAAAAGCTGTAACGAGAAACAAGATATGAGTCTACGGACGGTGCCAGTGATTCCCCTTCTGGGAATTTTCCCTGTTGTAGCGATACATAGCTACTCTTTTCTGGGACAGTTGAAGTCGATAAACCTGAGTCTTAGAAGCGGCCCAGGTGTCCATCAGCAGATAAATTGAGAAAAAAA